ATCCTCCCCCACCCGACCCTTTGCTAATTATATATATATATATATATTCCTGTCGATATAATATGTGTAGATTTATAATAATGTATATAATTAATCAAAGGGGCTGGGTGGGGGGAGGATTGGACCACCTCTCTTAAACCAGCAGCAAAGGGGGGCTATAGTCCAAGTCATGGGGGGGCACCAGGTAGCCCTTGAGGAAGAACGTGCTTTCAGGCAGCTGTGAGTGGGCTTGGGGTGCGAGGTGGAACCATGATTATCCTCTAAAAGAGAGAAAGAAACTAGTCTTGGAAGGTAGTTTCTGGCAGCTGGGATGGGCGAGGTAGAAAGTGGGAAAGGGGCAGAGTATTAGAAGGGCAGGTTCTGGGAAGGGGCAGAGTGGAAGGAGGCTGGGGGGGCTGCAGGAGCAGCAGGACCTGGGAGGAAAAAGGGCCACCAGTGCATGGCAGAACAATTCCTCTTCAAAGGGTCTCTTGTAGGACATCTTTGAGTCTTACCCCTTTCTATCCTCTCAAGGGAGGAGTGGAGTGTAATCAAGATGGGGAAGGAACGAGAAAGGAAGGTGTTTATTGTTTTTTTTATGCAATATATTCAAAATGGAGCTTAGTGGCTTTATTGTTCTGAAGCTTGGGGCTTCAGGCTTGCTTAGATCCCTGAGCAGGTGCCCTCTGGCTATTGCAGAATAAGTAGGTAGAATAAATTGGATTATGGCTGTTGCAGAATACAGCAGGTGAGATAAATAGATGTATCTGTCTAAAAACAGCAATAGGCAAACATTAATGGCCTTGCACTGGTTTATTCATATTTGTTATAGTTCTGTGAGGCAGTAGAAGTGAGGTGGAAATGGCGGGGGGCGGGGAGTGAATAGGAAAGAAGAAGGGGAAGAACTCTTTAATCCTAGGATAGAAGAAAGGGCCAACTATGCTCAATAACATATAATCAAAGAGTGGGATTAATGTATTCTTTTTTCTGGTTCAGCATACTGTATATTCAAATGTTTTCTTGCTCTAAATCTGGAGAGGTGTTAGTAGCCGTATTTAAGCCACTGGAAGTCCAATAACTCCTCTTGATATGGTCTTCCACCCTCCTCCATCTGTCACCAATGGATGGATACCCCTGTATCAGAGTTACTTTAATTTGGTGGCCTAACTGGTCCCTTCCGACTCTGATTTCTCCCTGCCCTGCTCCTGTGTGATTTCTATCTGGTACTTATTTAAATCACCATTTAAACTTAAAATGGAACTTAAAAATGGTTGATTAATATAGAACCATTTAAAAAAACAACAGAGTTCTCCTCCTTTGAAAAATAATCATGTTTGCCAGTCCAAGAGAGGAGGCTTAAAAAATAACCCATTTTATTCTTTTAATTTTCATTTAAATTATTTATTTAGCTCATGCCATTGCTTCTAGGTAAAATTGTCCGGTTATCTATATTTTGTATGTATGTCTGATTTAGATGGGAGAGGAAAACCTCTTAAAGCCTTGATCTTACAAGGCTCTCTAAGTTCTTAAGCTCCTCAGAGTAGTAACTCATTTTTGGCCCAAAAATTGTTTTGAATTATCCTTCTCTGCAAAACAAAATAATTTTAAAGAACTAGCAATAGTGAGATAAACAAACTTGAAATATACAGCATAGAAAGCCCCAAACTCAAGCCATGTGAGGAATAATCTCCATTTATGTTATTTATTTGACATGTCTAACCCAGCCCAATCCTACAACTCTGGGCATCTGAGGATTAATCTTATTTTAAGTGATGGGCAATAATATTAGTAACAAGCTAATTTTAAAAGTCTTGATCTGCTTTTAGGATGTTGGTAATTTGAACAAGTTGGCAGGAATTGGCCCTATTACCTTCCTACAGAATTCAGCCGTAGAAAAAGAATAGCATATAGTGAAGCAGTAGATCTAAGCATTGCACAAATCGTTCTTTCCCCTCATGACTTCCAGATGTGTTTGAACTACTAGTTCCAGAATCCTTAGCCAGCGTTGTTCCATTGTTTCTTTCATAGTCTGTAGTTCTCAGGATTAGTGCCAGGGAGAAGATAGTTAACTCGATTACTGAATTAATCTGTGTGAACACAGAATTCTGAAGGAATAACAAATCAGGCTGCATTTATGCGACGTGCTTCACCACAAAAAAAGAAACCCAACAGTCTTAACCGAGGTTAATGCTAACCAAAGCTTAGCATCCTCTTCCACTCTCCCCCTTTTGTGTGTGTGTGTGAGTTCAGCTGCCGGATCCTTATGTGGTTTGGTGAAACACGTGATGGAAAGATAGCTAGCTTTCCCTGTAAGATTGTCTTGTTTGGTATAAAGTTTACCAAGAAAGATACTTTTGCAGGGGTTTTGAAAGCTGTCTTTCCAGATGCACCTTGTGTTAGCAACACAGTACAGTAGCAAGTTGCTGCATCTGAACTTTGTTTCCAAGTTGGGAGAAGAAAAAACAAACAGACCTGGAAATAGATACTGTCAATTGTGTAATCAGCCGAAGGAAAAAGTGTTTATCTGGACTTAAAAACAGTTTCTTCTCTCTATTGCTGGCTTATTGAGAAGCTGAAATCCTAAAAACCTGCAATATGATTCTTCTTTAGAAACCAGCATTGCAAACCACCATCTGTTCCCCAAACAGAAACAATTTTGGAATTCATGTTTATCTCCATGGACTCCTAAAAGCTGAAGGTTGCACGGAAGGAGACAAATTGGGCACCCCTTTCACCTGTTTGTTTATAATAAATAAAAATAAATCATATTATTGATTTGATGTTGACTTCCAAACATTCCTTCTCTTTGAAATGCTGCAGGAGAGATTTAAGAGTTCTACATATCTGCAGTATATAGAACTTCTAAGTACTTAGTAACTTAGCCATCAGCAAGCATTTGTGACAGTACAGAGTACGTAAAGCAGTATTTTAAAAAACGTTGTCTTGCGTGTTCTAAAAGAAAACAGAATTTTGAGGACACATGGTGCATGCAGAATAATTATTTTCAGGGAGGGTGGAGGTCTCCATGCACTAAACAGTTGCCACAGAGACAGAAAAAATAAACGTTTTCTTGAGTCAAGCTTCGGTTTTCTTAAATTTGGGTAACTCTGCGGACAACAGTATGGAAGCGTGCCAGCGTGTTTCTTCCAGAATGCTTTTTTTTTTTTTTTAACTTCCCAATCTGGGTTATTCCTCTGGTCTCTCCTCATGCTTGCCATACCAATCAAAAAACACCAGTTTATGATAATGCTGCATCATTACCTTCTCTGTTTTTCTTTTCCCTTAAGTGCTTGCTTCCTGTTCTTTTTGCCTCCCCCCCCCCCCCCCCCCCC